TTCTCCTGCGCCCCTCACTCTTTCCGATTTCGGAATCGTCGTCGTCGCCGTCGCTGCCTCCGTCGCGGTAACCGTCTGGGACATCGTCCTCATCGGAACAACCAGACATCTAAATCAAACCGCGTTTGGTTCTTCTTTGAAGCCAATTAGGTCACGCAAATTAGGATTCTGGATTATCATGAAAGTTGAATTTCGAGAATAATGATAGTAATAATAATAATAATAATAATAATAAGAGAGAGAGAGAGAGAGATAAAAGCGTGAAGTTTGCTATGGTAGCGAAATTGCATAGCGTAAGGTAACCATAACCATAACTAAAACCATAACCAACATGGATTTAAAATTCAACCTTATATATGATATATATGTGCGTCTCTGAATGTGATGTTCATTTCATTTCATTTCAATTTCAATTTGCCAAGTGAACTCTTCGTTTTTATTTACGGCTCCTCGAACGCAACGCACATTGCAGGTCCACGTGTCATATCTTTAGGTTATGCCGCGTGTCTACTGTGAATGGCACCTTTGTTTTCTCTTGGTTTCATATTCATATTATGTTACGTGGTGTCTATGTCAACTAACGTGTAATTATTGTTTTTGGGACCAATTAACCCTTTTTGTGGTCAGAGTTTAGGCTCCTTCATTAAAACAACCATCCGTGTCCACGTCATCGTAAAAGCCCAAAATTGAAAAAGGAGACAACATTAATTTAGTTATATATAGAGAGAAAATTATGATAGCCAAACAAAATAAAACATAAAAGCATAGAAAGATGGTGAGTATTTTAATTAAAATGAAGTTAGAACATGAAATTTGTTTTGTCCATTTCACAAAGGGAGCCATCTACTTAAGATAGTGTTTAAAATTTTTGAATCATTAGGGAAAAATTATATTTGAGCTCTGTTTTAGTATAAAATAAATTCTATTTTTATTTTTAACTTTTTAAACTGAAAATTTGTTGATTAAATTTTGTGATTAAGCAGTTTTAATGTAGTTATCTCAAATTGAATCTAAAAATTTTGATTTTGAAAATATTTTTTGACAAAGACAATAATCGAAAATATTATTAATAACACTCTATAAACATTACATGTATCAAAATGAATCAGTTTCTTAATATAGTTTAATATTTCTAAAACAACATTGGATGTCAACATACTTTTAATACAACATTAATTTCTTTTAGTTAATCTTACTTTGCTGCTTTTAATTTAGGAAAAAGTCAATACCACCGATATTAAATTGATATTATTTACTAAAACTAATTTTTTTTTAATGTTAGTACAATGTTTTACTTTAATTATTATTTTTTTAAAATTGGGATTCAAATAAGAATCTATTATTAATTTATGAATAAACTAATTTTAATTTATAAAAAAATATTTATTTTTGAAAAATTCTATCCAAAAATACTTAACATTTAACATTTAGGTGGGCAACTTTGTATATTATTTGAATATCTACATCGTAAAAGAGAATATACCTTCTTGCATTTGTGTGATCAAATTTTGATTTTTTTTTATACCTAAATACTTATTAATGGGTAACCAAAGAAAAACTTGTTTTATTTCATTTATTTTTTGTGCCCAAAAAAATTAGTTACGTTCAGCACAACTGTACGAGATTATCAGTTCAACATATTTGCAACATGCAGTAACCTCAAGAAAGACTGATAACAGATACATAAAAACCAAAATACTGCTGACCAAGTATTTAGTTTAAATAACAAACATACTTTCTTTTATGGGTATTAATTTTACACTACAACATTGTTATTGATGTCTCTAATTCACACGATAAGATTATAAATATTCCTTTGAGCCTAAATGGTACAACTGACGCATTCCTATTCTTTAAGGAATTGTAGAGTTGAGGGTTGCTGTATCTTATAATTCAACATCACAGATTAGTGTACGTGCAAAGCACATGTCAAAAAAACTAGTATACTAAGCGTTTCAAATTGTTCCTCAAAAATTAACTACACTTTCTTTGGGTACAACAAAAATTGACTACTCTAACAATCCATCCATAGGATTTTGCTGGCTCGGTGTAATGTGACAAAAATGTGCGTTGAAGAATCATCAACTAACGTAAAATCAGCACTCAATTCGAACAGCACCACTCTCCGACTTAATGAACTTGGGTTTCCTTACGACTTGTTCCAAGCACTGGATGACGTCTCCAACCTGGAAATCATGCCATTCGTTGATTATTAGTCCACAATCGTTTCCCTTTTTCACAGTATCCACATCCTGCTTCTCCCTCTTAAGAGATGTACAAAGTCCTTCAAACACGACTTCCCCACTCCTAAGAAGCCTCATGGTTGCTGACCTTGTCACAGAGCCATCAATAACACGACAACCAGCTATCTTAACACCAGGTCCCTTCGACTTGCTCCCTTTGATTTCAAAGATGCTCATCACTTCTGCCTGCCCTGCAATATGGGTCTCAGAAGTTCCAGGGGCCTTCTCTATTATCAAATTGCCTATGTCCTCCAAGAGGTGGTAAATTACACGGTGCAGAATTATCTATATAACCAAACCAAATGGATGTCAAAATGAAATCCAAGTTTCTTGTCAAACAATTTAAGCATAGATGAACATCAGCTTAAAAGTTAATACCTTGATGCTGGCTCGAGCTGCTGCCTGACTCAGTGAAGTAGGTGGACTTTTGACGTTAAATCCAACTATGGAAGCCCCACAAGCCTGTGCCAGGTCCACATCTGATTGAGAAATAGGCCCAACACCAACATGGAGAACATTTACGAAAACCTAGCAATTAAATTACACAAATTGTTAGCAACAAATAGCAAATAATAGTAAAGCAACACTGTAAACTTAAGTTCACGACAACTACACTATGTTTCTGGGTGTCACAAAAGCTGATTTTTGACAACTATAGCAATTAGCATGTCTGCCACACCCAGTAGTCAATAAAAGCAAACCAGTCCCAATTGTGCGAGGAATATAGTGAATCATTAACTGGAGATGATTAGTGATTATAAAATATGAGTCTGTTTGGATACATTCTATAAGGATTTTTGAGGACTTCCCTATCAAAAGAAAAAAAATGTTTTTTCAATAGAAAAACACTTTTAGTCTTGTATCCAAACATGTTCTATATTTTTCGAATACTGATTACTCGGGTAAAATACCTTAATCAGTTAGATGCATGCCCGTGAATTATTTTGATTTATATCTCTGTCACCACTGGTTATTCAAAAGCATTTCGAGTTTAAAACATGGACATTTGCATAAAGCATAAACTCACATTACTGTCTGATAAGTTTAAATTGTCAGAATCAGGATCAAGGAAAAAGAAAACAGAAAGAAGGTTCGAATCACTTTATAAAAATGGCTCAGATACCAAAAGGGTATCAAGTGAAAATCATATATATCTTTAACACTAGCATTATAAAACAAACTGTTTTGCTTGCCTTCACTCTGCCTGTGGGGGAGCATGCGTGTGTATGCAAAAAGAGAGAAGTTTACTATATTGCTATAATCTTTACAAACCTGAGCACTATTTAAAGTTTTCAATGCATCGGTGACAGCTTGAACAGTTCCCTGAACATCTGCTTTTACTATTACTGGCATTTCAACCCTCTGTGGAACCTCCTCGGAATCATCTGAAGTAGTTGGCTTGTCCTGTATCATCTTATTCTTAAGCCTGTTCTCCTCATATTTCCTTTGCCTTCCAGAACTAAGCATTCTAGCTCGCTCCTCAGAATGAACAACAATAACATCATCACCGGCCATTGGCAGCCCTCGAAGCCCTTCAATCTCAACAGGCATAGCAGGTGTTGCTTGTTGAGTTAACTTCCCTGCCATATCTTTAATACCCCTTATTCTTCCCCATTGTGAGCCTACAACCACATGCTGACCACAAACTAGAGTCCCTGCCTTCACTATAGTAGTTACCAATGGACCCCGTCCTTTGTCAAGTCTTGCTTCCACCACATATGCTTGAGCAGGCCCATCAATTCGTGCTTTAAGATCCATCATATCAGCCTGAAGTAGTAAAGCTTCCTCTAGGTTATCCAGTCCAATTTTTTCAGTTGCTGAAACTTCAACAACCTGAATATCCCCACCCATCTCCTCCAGCAGCAAGCCCTCTGATGCAAGCTGCAGTTTAACTTTTTCAGGATTTGCACCTGGTTTATCACATTTATTAATTGCAACTACAATTGGTACATTAGCTGCTTTTGCGTGAGACATGGCTTCAAGAGTTTGAGGCATCACACCATCGTCTGCAGCAACAACCAGCACCACTATATCTGTAACTGCTGCACCTCTTGCCCGCATTGCACTAAATGCAGCATGACCAGGAGTATCAAGAAATGTAATTGATGCTCCTGATGGCATGACCACCACAAAAGCACCTAGATGTTGAGTTATGCCACCAGCCTCCCTGGCTGCCACTGATGTTTGACGCAAGGCATCAAGAAGAGAAGTTTTACCATGATCAACATGACCCATCACTGTTACAACTGCAGGACGTGGTAAAATTTCTGCACCTTCATCTGAATGTAGCCTTTTAACATTGACACCAGCCTCCTGCACCAGCAATGAACTTATTAAGTGAAAAAATATCACAGAGAGAAACAAAAATGTTCATCGTGTGGCAAATTTAGAGGGTGAGGGTTTTGAATCAATGACCCAAAATGAATGCAAACAAATAAAAACTTTGGAGAATACCTTGGTATAATGCTTCAAAAGTGGTTTTACATAAAATATTTACACAAGCCTACCCATACTCTAGGCCTAGTCTTTTCGGTCACTTTTCTTCCCTTAATTTTTCTATGCATACTGTATTTTTTGGACAGAAGGGAAGGCACACAAGACAGCCTAATTTCAGGAAAAACACTTATTCAAGCTCCATCAGACCCATCAAAACTTCACAATAGAGCTTATAGATTTTATTTAAAAATTCAAACCACTAAACAAAAGCCACTTCAAATCGCATACACTTCAAGTGAAGAATAAGTAAAACATGAGCCATTTTAATTTTGATCATAACAAGTTGTCATTAATAAATGACAAGCACAGACAAAAAAGTATTGGGATCAAACGAAGATAGTAGAAACTAGTTCCTAACATTCACTGGCTTATAATCATCTGTGACTAAGAGGGAGAAAATACCATTGCAGCAAGTTCAGCAATATCCATGCTGAGAAGCTCAAACTCTGATTCAACCTTTTCACCAACATTAGTGAGGACATCCTGCAAAGAAGATACTGATTTTCCAGAGCGCTTTGCCAGTTCAACAAGAGTCATGCCTTCAAATATTTCTACTATTTTATCAGGACTAGATTTGGTAGCTGTGACATTACGAACAGGTGGCTGTCTTCTATTGTCCCTTCTTGAATATTTCACCCTCTTTGGGGTCTTCA